GGGGGGGGGAAGAGTGTGTGTGTGTGTGTGTGATGAAAAACATTTTAGATTTAAAATATTTTTTAACATGTAGGTGCATTAATTTAAAAAGTAAATAGTGTAAATATAAAGGTATAAAAGCTCTATTCTCATGTTGGATATTTTAATAAAACTGCCTGAGGGGTAGGAACCATGTCTTAACTTTTGAATAGCTACGTATATTCCCTGTGCTTACCAGTTTAGTGCTGGACTCACAGTAATATTTCCTTAAGTATTTGTTGAATAAACAATATACTTTCTTGTTAAGAAGTAGTAATCTTAAGTGAAAAATAACTTTTTTTTAATACAAATAAACATAGAGTTAATTCTGCTTACACCTAGATCCTCTAGTATTTATTCTTAAATAGTAATATTTAAGCTTTGGTCTTTCTGGTCTTCTGAGAGAGAAGCATGCAGGTTACAGCAATTCTAAGGTGGTATTTTTTATTATAGAGAAACCTAACTTGGTTTCTATATTTAACCAAAAAAGGAAAGCTAACTTTTTAACCTAAAGATTCATTTGAAGCTCTCTGCATGATTTAGTTGTATTTATCCTGTGGTTTGGTCCAGTTGCCTCTCCACGGTTTCTGCCTTTACTTTCTACAGTCTCATCTGTCTCTGCTTCTGTGACTTTTGCTCTTAGTCCTTGTAGGCACAAAGCTCTTTATGAGCCAAGTGCCTCATAAGTTTAGTGACTTTGACAGTTTCGGGGTATACAAGGGACAAATCACATGACACAGCCTCTGCACCTCATCTGTGGCTGCTTTCCCCAGCCAGTGTTTCAGACCTGCCACCCTTTTTTGTCCTGTAGAACTTTCTCAGAATGTTAGTCTAGTTGCCCATTCTTAATGTGTTGTACTCAAGGAGTAGCACTATGTTGCATTATCTATTGCTGTGTAATGGGTCATCTCAAAACGCAGTGGCTGAAGACTGCAGCAATCATTTTATTATTAACTTGAATGGTTCTGGGGGTTGACCAGGCTTACTTAGAAGGTTCTCACTGGGAGTGACTTATGCATTTGCAGCCAGAGGCAACTGGAGCTAGAGTTTTCTAGGATCCCTCCCTTACCTGTCTGGTGGTTGATGCCAGTTGTGGGCTGGGACCTCAGCTAGGCCTGTGGGCTGGTTTCTACACTTGGCTTCCTTACGTGGCCCAGGCTTCTTCCCAGCATAATGTTTGAGTTGTAACAGCAGCTTTCCTAGAGAAATAGGTAGAGGCTGTTGGCATCTTTGTTGTAGCCCTGGAAGTCACTCAACATCACTTTTTCCATAGTTACAGGTTTACCCGGATTTCAGGGAAGGGAATATAGACTTGGCCTTTCAATAGGAAGAGCGCTAAGGCAAATTGTAAGAAGAGCAGATGAGACTGGGGATATTGTTGCCCTCTCTGTGACAGTCTCTGAAAGAATACTGTAGCAGTATATACTTTATTTCTATGTCAAAATTACCAGGCTGACTTTAAGTAAATCTTCTAATGGTGTTTAAACCCTTTTTAATGTTTTCATCAACCACCCACTCGAGTAGATACAAAGAAAACATCGATAGGAGCTGGGCCACAATGAAACTAGGAAGACTTCAATAAATGTTACCTATGTGCTGGATGCTGGGCTGAGTCTTTTATGTAGGTTATTTCATTTATGCTTCACCATAATGATGCGAGGTGATTTTACAAATGAGGAAACAAGCTTAGAGGATTTAAGAAGGCTAGCACAAGTTCATGGAGCTATTCAGTGTTTGAGTCAAGTAGTCTAATAACCGGAGAACCCTAGCTCTTAACTAAATGAAGAAGTTCATTCTCTTCAGTTGGGAATGAGAAAGACCCCAGCTAGCCGGAGCTCCCAATTTAGCCATCTGTGGAATGACAAATTGCAACCAGAGTGTGTTCTTTTTTCTATATTGTAGATATGAGGCCAGTCATGTGAACCTTTTAGCTATGATCAAAAACAGGGCACCAAACTTAACATTGCCTGACCATTATTAGTTCTGGCCAAGGTGGCAAGAATGAGAATCACTGGTATTTTGAAAAACCCCTTCTTTTTTTTACCCAACATACTATCTAACCAAAATGTATAATGATTAGGCATTGTTAATGGCTTAAAGTTGTAGGAAGACTAGCAAAGTTATTAGATTTTATTTCTTATTTTTAAATTTAACAGTTATTTAATTGTTGTTTACATTGTATTGCGAGGTTAATTTTAAAAAAAAGGCAGCCTATGTAATGTTTTTAATCTTTCCTCTTTCTGAGACTTCAGTCTTTGAACTTGAGTCTTCTCATTATAATTAGATGAAGGTGATGCCACCTGCTTTCTTGCTTTTTCAAACTAGAGCAATGTACCCCCCGGGCCCCTCAGGGTGTGCCTGTGCATCTGCACACGGATGGGGGTTGGAGAGGGATTGGGAATGGAAAACCACAGAATAAATATGCCCTCGTTATTCTGAAGCACTAAATTTACTTCATGATAGGTAGTTTTGAACACTTAGACTATTTTATTTTAGCTCATAGAGCAGAATGTGAAATTGGTGTGAATTTTTAAGGTAAGTAGCTGAATTCAAAATATATCTTAGATGTGCAGCAAGCCCAACCTAGGGATATTGTTCATTCTCACTGGGAGCCACCTTTCTTGCTTCCTAGAGTTGATATTTTGTTGTATAGTAAGTCAAATTTAATTCTTTCTTGTAATCATG